CCTCCCCTCTCTCTCTCTATCTCTGTGCCCCCCCTCTCTCTGTCCGTGCCCTCCCCCCTCTCTCTATCTCTGTGCGACCCCGTCTCTCTCTCTGTCTGCCCTCCCCTCTCTCTCTCTCTCTCTCTGTGCCTTCCCCCTCTCTCTCTGTGCCATCTCCTCTCTCTCTCTGTATCCCTGTGCCCTCCCCCCCTCTCCCTCTATCCCTGTGCCCTCCCCTCTCCCTCTCTCTCTCTCTCTATCCCTGTGCCCTCCACCCCCTCTCTCTCTATTCCTGTTCCTTTCCCTCCCTTTCTCTCTCTCTCTCTCTATCCCTGTGCCCTCCTCTCTCTCTCTTTCTCGGTTTCTCGGTCTCTCACACTCTCCTATTTCTCTCTGCAGGGTATTTTCAGACAGTATGACCTAGATAAGTCTGGAACAATGAGTTCCTATGAAATGCGCCTTGCCCTGGAGACAGCAGGTAGGTTACCCTCAGCGTTGGTCACCCTCTCACTGTGAAGGGTGTTTTTTTTAACAGAATTCTTTCTCCCTGTCATTGGGCAGGTTTTAAAATCAACAATCGAATCCATCAAGTGATTGTGGGGCGATACGCAGAGAATGATGCACTGGATTTCGATAATTTCATCTCCTGCCTTGTCAAACTGGAGGCGATGTTCAGTAAGTATCAGCATAACACCTTTTTGGGCCTCCCTACCCCTCCCTGCTCATCCCTAACCCTCTCTAACCCCCCACCCCTCCCTTTACCCCTCCCCACTCATCCCTGCTCATCCCTACCCCTCCCTACCCTTCCCCTTACCCCTCCTTGCTCGTCCCTATCCCTCTCAACTCATCCCTATCCCTATCCCTCCCTATCCCAATTGACCAATTGCTCTCTCTTTTTCAGGGTCATTCAAAACTCTGGAGCAGGAGGATGGGACAATAGAGTTGAATCTTGCTGATGTGAGTGTTCCTGAACTCTTCCATTTGGGAAAGGGGCCTGATGGGAACAGTGTTGGGGATAGGTATGTTGGTTAGGTGTCGGGGACGGGTCGGGGACGGGTCGGGGACGGGCCCGGGGGTCGGGGGCGGGGGCGGGGGGCGGGGCGGGGGGGGGGGGGCGGGGGCCGGGGGGGGGGGGACGGGCCCGGGGGTCGGGGACAGGCCCCAGATGGGCCTGGAGGTCGGGAACGGGCCCCGGACGAGACTGGGGGTCGGGGACAGGCCCCAGAGAAGTTATGTGATTAGGTGTAGGCCCCAAAAGGTCTTTGTCCCTCTTTGACCTGTTCATTTTGTGTAGAAATCTGTGTATTTTCCTTTTTGGCTCATTGCCTCTGCTCCTTTTCTGTCTTCACAGTGGCTCAGTTTGACCATGTCTGGTTAGAAATCAACATGAAGACGCTGAGATTGTGAATGCCTCCTTTCTGCTTCTGAAGCTGAACCAGCCTGTGGCTTATATGTAGCCTGTTTGATAGAATGGCCCCAGGAGACTCTGAGGAGGCTGTTTACTTGGAGTCTGATTAAACTATGCAAAAACCTTTTCCAGGACACAGTGCAGTGTGGGGGCCCAGACACTCAGAAACTGACAATCCTCAACTACTGCCCCATTTCCCCTGACATCCCCATTCCCATGGTTATTCCCTCTCCCCTGGTAATCCCCCCCATTCCCACCCTCCCAGAGTGGGATTGGCCTGGTCTGGTCTACAATGATAACCACTAAAACTGTCAGACACGCTCACAGCTTCCATTGTCTTCCAAACAGCCCCAGATCCAGACACTGCCCAGGCCCCCAGCAGCAAGGTCAATCTGCCTCTTCTCTCCGATCCAGCTCTGCTGGCCCTGCGGGAGGGGTGAGGGTGAGGGGTGTGTGGGTACCTCTGGGTGGGAGCAGACCTGGGTACTGCGCGTTTGCTTGTTGCTGGCTGTGATTTCTCAGAGCTGCACTAATACCTGGTGCCATGTTGTTAATTTTACTGACTGCTCACTCTGCTGAAGCTCCTCTCTTCAACGATTTCATTTAGTGTATGCTGTGTGATTACTTTTGGCATTGACTCTCTAATCAGTAGCTATGAAAGTTTAAAACTATGCTTACAGTCTGCAGACAGTATTAAATTTGAGAATAAATCAGTAAAGGACCAATTAATCCATTGCAAACTCTCCTTGTCTCTATTACTGCTTCACTGTGGGATGATGGGTGGTGATATTAAAGAGGTATAATGTAGTTCTTCAGAAAGGGTTAATCTTCACGTAGACTCGGTCATTGCTCGAGATGATGTGCCTCAATCTGTGAAAAGACCAAGTGTTTAACACTCACTTTTAGAGGAGATGGAGCACAGATCCTAGCTCCCTCAGGCTGGAGCTGGTCTGCCTAAGCACATGGTGTGGTAACCTGTTACTATCCTACACTTAAACTTCTGGATATGGAAAACAACTTCAACTGTACATTCACCGTGGTGGCATATCCCCCGCCAGCGACAGGTCCATGATCAAACAGCGGCATATCCTCCGCCAGCGGCATATCCCCTGCCAGCGGCGTATCCTCCACCAGAGACGTATCCTCCACCAGCGGCATATCCCCCGCCCAGCAGCATATCCTCCACCAGAGACGTATCCTCCACCAGTGGCATCTCCCCCGACAGCGACAGGTCCAGGATCAAACAGCGACAACAGTCTTACTTCTGTGGTGGGCAAATTATTGGAGGGGCTTCTGAGAGATAGTATTTATGATTATTTGGAAAAGAATAGCTTGATTAGAAATAGTCAGCATGGCTTTGTGAGGGGCAGGTCATGCCTCACAAGCCTTATTGAATTCTTTGAGGATGTGACATTGATGAAGGTCGAGCAGTGGATGTGGTGTATATGGATTTTAGCAAGGCATTTGATAAGATTCCACATAGTAGGCTCATTCAGAAAGTAAGGAGGCATGGGATTCAGGGAAATTTGTCTGTCTGGATACAGAATTGGCTGTCCAATAGAAGGCAGAGGGTGGTAGTAGATGGAAAGTATTCAGCCTGGAGCTCGGTGACCAGTGGTGTGCCGTAGGGATCTGTTCTGGGACCTCTGCCCTTTGTGATCCTTTATAAATGACTTGGATAAGGAAGTGGAAGGGTGGGTTAGTAAGTTTGTCGATGATACGGAGGTTGGTGGAGTTGTGGACAGCGTGGAGGACTGTTGTGGGTTGCAACGGGACATTGACAGGATGCAGAGCTGGGCAAAGAAGTGGCAGATGGAATTCAACCCAGAAAAGTGTGAAGTGATTCATTTTGGAAGGTGGAATTTGAATGCAGAATACAGGGCTAACGGCAGGATTCTTGGCAGTGTGGAGGAACAGAGGGATCTTGGGGTCCATGTCCATAGATCCCTCAAAGTTGCCATCCAAGTTGAGAGGGTTGTAAAGAAGGTGTATGGTGTGTTGGCTTTCATTGGCAGGGGAATTGAGTTTAAGAGCCGTGAGGTTATACTGCAGCTCTATAAAACCCTGGTTAGACCGCACCTGGAATATTGTGTTCAGTTCTGGTCGCATCATTACAGGAAAGATGTGGAAGCTTTAGAGAGGGTGCAGTGGAGATTTACCAGGATGCTGCCTGGACTGGAGGGCAGGTCTTATGAGGAAGGGTTGAGGGAGCTAGGCCTTTTCTCATTGGAGCGAAGAAGGATAAGAGGTGACTTGATAGAGGTTTACAAGATGATAAGAGGCATAGATAGAGTGGATAGTCAGAGACTTTTTCCCAGGGCGGAAATGACTATTATGAGGGGGCATAATTTTAAGGTGATTGGAAGAAGGTATAGGGGAGATGTCAGAGGTAGGTTCTTCACACAGAGAGTGGTGGGTGTGTGGAATGCGCTGCCAGCAGTGATAGTGGAGTCAGATACTTTAGGGACATTTAAGTGCCTCTTGGATAGGCACATGGAGGATAGTAAAACACAGGGTATGCAGGTCGTTTGGTCTTAGTAGGATAATAGGTCGGCACAACATGGTGGGCCGAAGGACCTGTACTGTGCTGTACTGTTCTATATTCTATATCCTCCACCAGCGACAAGTCCAGGATCAAACAGCGACGGGAGAATTGTTGGCCGTAACTATCTCACCCACTGTCACACCCTGATAGAGGGGCAAATGAACGTGGGATACGGCGACCAACAGGGAAAGACGGCGACCAACAGGGAAACACGGAGACCAACAGGGAAACACGGAGACCAACAGGGAAACATGGAGACCAATGCTGGGACAGGCTTGGAATTGACTATGGGTCCTCTATTTTGATGGTTTTCAAACACCAGGAGAGTCATTAGGAAAAAGAAGCAGCAGTAAGGAGCAATGAGGCTGCAAGACCTCTCTCCTGGTCAGAATTTGGGAACCTGATCAAGTCAACAGTTTGACTAGGTTGTAAACCCTGAAAACCTGAACTGTGACCATGATCCAAAGACTTGGATCCAGCTTGATTTCCAAATAAACTGAAGTTTTGGTTAAAGATCTTTGTCAGTAGTTCAAATTTGTCAACAGGAAGTTCAATGGACTGTGAAGATTCAATCTCTTCCCTTTCTGTTATAGACCCCTGGTCAATAAGGGTATTCTCCCTTTCTGCTTTTCTTTACAATATCATCTCTGTAAAGTCACTATTGTGCTGGGGGTGTGTGTGTGTGTGTATGTGTGAGAGAGAGAGAGTGCATGCGCGTGTGTGAGAAACTGGGCAGCAAACAGAACAAAGTTGTCATCGTGGATTACAGCTTCGCTCAGTCTCTCAGCTTCACAGATCCCCAGCCAGTGACCCTACCCCGCATCTTGAGTTTCCAGGAGTTGTAGCTGGACACACTTCCTGCACACACACTGCTCCCAGGAACTGGAAATGTTCCCATATCCCACAGACAGCAGGAGGAGCAAGCCATGGGCATAAACCCTCCTGACATTGCTTACCCCTTTGGATTAAGCCCTTAGATTGTCCTCAAAATCAAATAATTTTTGCCAGCATTTATTGCCCGTCCCTAATTGCCCAGAGGGCAGTTAAGAGTCAACCACATTGCTGTGCGTCTGGAGTCACATGTAGGCCAGACCAGGTAAGGATGGCAGTTTCCTTCCCGAAAGGATATTAGTGAACCAGATGGGTTTTTCCCAACAATTGACAACAGTTTTATTATCATCGAGAACTTTTAATTCCAGATACTTTTTATTCAATTCAAATTCCACAATTTGCCATGGCAGGAATCAAACCCAGGTCCCTAGAACATTACCTGGGTCTCTGGATTAACGGGCCAATGATAATCCCAATAGGCCATCACCTGCCCACACTAGCGTTAACTACTCTCTGGACCTCTCCACAACTGACCTGACAAACGATAAACCCAAAACCAAAACCTTACAAACTATGTGATAAAAATATCGTAAATACTTATCGACCTTACTCATCCTAACAGCATTTCTCAGACTGTTCCACTGCAGTGCTGTCTGTGGGGCACTCTTCCCAAATGACTTCAACATGTAAAAGTAAGGATTCATCACCTGAGGGGGGACGGTATGTGGTAATCAGCAGGAGGTTTCCTTGCCCATGTTTACCCTGAAGCCATGAGACTTCCTGGGGTCCAGAGGAAATGTTTCACTCCGACACCAGCCTCCCTTTGATACAGGGCCCATAATTGCTCTCAATATTCCAAATGCAGTCTGACCAGAGCCTTTTACAGCCTCAGCAGTACATTTCTGCTCTTCTATTCTAGCCCTCAGGAAATGAATGCATTTGCTTTCCTAATTGCCAACTGAACCTGCACTTTAACTTTAAGAGAATCCAAAACTAGGCTTCAGAATTTCAAAGCCTTTCCCCATTTAGAGAATAGTCTACGCCCCAGTTCTTCCTACCAAAGTGTAAAGCCTCACACTTTCCCACATTGTATTCTGTGTGTCACTTCTTTGCCCACTCTCCCAGCCTGTGCAAGTCCTTCTGCAGCCTCCTGCTTCTTCAACACTACCTGGCCCTCCACCTAGCTTTATGTCATCTGCATACTTAGCAACAATGCCCTCAGTTCCTTTATCCAGATCATTAATGTATAATGTGATTAGTTGTGGTCCCAGGGTTATCCCAGCAGAACTCCACTAGTCCCCGGCAGCCATCCTGAAAAAGACCCCTTTATCCCCATTCTCTGCCTTCTGCCAGTCAGCCAACCTTCTACCCATGCGTGTACCTTGCCCCGAACACCATAGACTCTTAGTTTCTTTTACAGCCTTGTGACACCTTGTCGAAGGCCTTTTGGAAATCCAAATAGATCACGTCCACTGGCTGTCCTTTGTGTAATTTGCTCATTACCTGCTGAAAGAATTGCAACAGATTTGTCATGCATGACCTCTCCTTGATAAAACCATGCTGACTCAGCCCTATTTTACCATGCAGTCCCAAGTACTCCACAATCTCATCCTTAATAATGGACTTTAAAAGCTTCCCAACTACTGAGGTGAGGCTAAATAGCTGACAGTTTTCTGTCTTCTGCCTGCCTTCTTAAACAGGGGCGTTACATTAGCCATTTTCCAGTTCTCTGGGACCCTCCCTGACTCCAGTGATTCCTGAAAGATCACCACCAATGCCCCTACAATTTCCTCAGCTATCTCCTTCAGCACTCTAGTGTTGTACATCTGGTCCAGGTGACTTATCCACCTTCAGACCTTTCAGCTTCCCTAGCACCTTCTCTTTGGTGATGACCACTAGGCAGACCTCTGCCCCCAACTCTCTTAAGTTCTGGTATGCTGCTGGTGTCTTCACTGTGAAAACTGACACAAAGTACCTTCAGTTCCTCCACTATTTCTTTGTTCCCCATTATTACTTCTCTAGCCTCATTTTCCAGTGGTTCAGTGTCTGCTCTTCCTTCTCTCTTACCTTTCAGACATCTAAAAAAACTCATGCAATCTCCTTTTATATGATTATCTAGATTACCCTCATCTTCCTTCATTTCTCCCATATCGCTTTTTGAATTATCCTCTGCTGTTTTTGAGATGAGAGATAGAACACAGCACAGTATAGGCCCTTCGGCCCACGGTGCCGAACTTTTACCCTAATCCTAAGGTCTATCTAACCTCCACCCCTACCTCATACTATCATCCGTATGCCTATCTAATAGCTGCTTAAATGCCCTTAATGAGGCCGACTCCACTGCCCTCTCTGGCAATGCATTCC